TTGGATAATTCGAATTTTGGATAATTTGAATTTTTTTACTGGTCCCTTAGGGTTCAAATTATCCAAGTTCCACTGTATATATTATCAAGAAGGATGTTGACAAGCTGGAGCATGACCAGAGGAGGGTGACCAAAATGGTAGTCTGGAAACGATGCCCTATGTGAAGCAGCTTAGGGAGCTGGATATGTTTAACCTGGAGAAGGGAAGGTTAAGAGGAGACATGAGATAGTCATGTTTAAATATTTGAAGGGATGTCATATTGAGGATGGAGCAATCTTGTTTTTTGCTGCTCCAGAGACTAGGACATGGAGCAGTGGATTCAAACATCAGGAAAATAGATTCAACCTAAACATTAGAAAGAATGAGTAATTCAACAATGGAATACGCTGCCTTGGAGAGTGATAGAGTCTCCTTTGGAAGTTTTTAAACAGAAGCTGGATAGCCATCTTTTGGGAGTGCTTTGATTGTGTATTCCTGCATGGCAGGGATTGGACCAGGAGCTGGCACCTGGTACTCTCTTATTGTAATAATAATAATAATAATAATAATAATAATAATAATAATAATAATTTTTATTTATATCCCGCCCCTCTGCCAAGCAATCGGGGCGGCGTACAACATATCAAAACATCAAAAACAAATAAGTCAGTTTAAGTCCCATCCCTCCTTCCCCCACCCCCCATCCCCCAAAAACAAATCAAACTGAACAAATTAAATAACAATAATTAAAATATACAATTTAAAAATACATAAATTATTCAAAGTCGAATTATAGTCCTCCAAGGGCTGGAAGCTGGCGGAGATTTTAAAGCCGCCGGTGCTCCTCCCCAGCCGCGCAGGTGAAGCTGGTCCGCCGCCGCTTGCTGGGTGGTGCCGGCGGAGATGGTGTCCACCGCCCGGCACAGGAGTTTTTATGGGCTTGGGAGGGAGGGAGGTGGCCCTGGTCGCCGCCGCTGTCTTCCCCGGAGCTCTCCTCCTCTTCCCTGCCTGGCACAGGTGTTTTTATGGGCTTGGGAGGGAGGGAGGCGGCCCTGGCCGTCGCCTAATTTTCTGTTTTGAAGTTTTAGTGTAGAGGCAAGTAAATTTTCAGTGGAAAATTATAACTTCTAGATTTACCCATCTGGTAGCACTGTTGTCCTTAATGCAGGGGTAGGCAACCTTTTTGAGCCGGGGGCCGATCCCCTGAAGTTGTCCCTTCCGGCGGGCCCGGGGGGGAATGGCGGCGCGCGACTCTGCCGCTGCGTGCGCTGCCGCAGCCGCCTCCGCACATGTCACGGAAGCCATTTTGTTCTGCAAAATGGCGGCCGCGATGCGTTTGTACATGCACAGTACTCCTGCACATGCGCAAACATGTCGCGGCCGCCAATTTGGAAAACAAAATGATGGTTGCGGCATGCGCGGCCATGCGACAACCAAAATGCATGGCGGCAGTGGTGGCAGGGGTCTGCCTGGGCTGGTAAGCGCGGGGCCCTGGGCTGGAACCGGTCCGGGGGCCGTAGGTTGCCGGCCCCTGTCCTTAATGAATTCAATAGTTTGGCTGAGTTGGAAAGCCTGTTTTGATGCATGATCTGTACTCAAGACAAGAGGCTGCAATCAGAATAGAATATCGAGAAGCAGAATGGTTCCCAATTAGCAAAGGGGTCAGACAAAGATACATCCTATCACTCTATCTGTTCAACATGTATGCAGAAAATATCATATGCAGAACAGGCTTAGGCTGAGATATGCAGATGACACAATACTACTAGCAGAAAACAGCCAAATCCTAGAACAATTACTAAAGAAAGTAAGAGAAGAAAGTGCTACGGTAGGATTAATGCTGAATTTTAAGAAAACAAAAATAATGACCACAGAAGAACTACATGAATTCAACCTAGATAACAATAAAATAGAAATAGTCAAAAGAATTCCATACCTGGGATCGAACATGGACCAGAATGGAGACTGCAGTCAAGAAATCAGAAGAAGACTAGGATTGGGAAGGGCAGTTAAGAAAGAATTAGACAAGATCCTAAAGTGCAAAGACATAACACTGAATACTAAAGTTAGGACTGTCCAAGCCACTGTATTCCTCACTACAGTGTATGGATATGAGAGCTAGACAGTGAAGAAGGCAGACAGAAAGGTAATCAATTCATTTGCGATGTAGTGCTGGAGAAGAGGACTGAGGTTGCTGTGGATGGCCAAAAAGACAAACAAATGGGTCCTAGAACAGATAAAGCCCAAACTCTCCTTGAAAGCCAGGATGAAAGTTGTTGTACTTTGGACATACCATGAGAAGGAAAGAATAATTAGAAAAGGCAATGATGCTGGGAAAAGTGGAAAAGAGCAGAAACACAGGAAGACCAGAAGCCAGATTGGTAGATTCGGTCAGAGAGACCGCAGGCCTAGGTCTGCAGGACCTGAGTAGAAAGGTAGAGGATAGTGTCTTGGAGACGTCTCATCTACAGTAATGATTTGGGAGGATTCGGGGGCGCTAACAACAGCAACAATTTATTCCACTATTAAAACAGTTTGCATTGGGGAATTGGCATAGACTGAAGCAGGGAAGAAGATAAACCCACCTGCCCACTGTGTGGCCCCAATCCAAATTGTCCTCCCATTTTTGCTTTTAGAGAAAGGAAAAGAGAAGGATAGATCTAGTCCT